ATCTTATGTTGGTGAGACGTGTCGGCCTATTCGCCAAAGATTAGATGAAAACAAAAATGCTTGTAAAGACACTTTGGTCTAACGAACACATAGCAGAGACGACATGAGATAGAATGGTCTTAAACGAATAGGTTTGATGATTATGATACGGTTGCTGTCAAAAGACAAGAGAGGCTATCGAAATTAGTAGATTAAGGAATATGTTAAATGTGAGGAACGTGGGTAGAAAGTTGAGTAAGAATTGCTTATGCTTGATTGACAGATAAAGGGAGATAGAGGGTGTTGAACCATCATCCAAAGGAAGGTAATTTAACTTGTATTTTCAGTGTTGGTTCTAATTTCATTCATATTCGTCCAATATTTTGGGTTAAACACATCAACCAAGTCAGACATACACGATTATCCGGCTCTTCATGTATTTCCTTGGGTTGTTGAACCTTTATGACCATAGCGGATGAGTTTTTCATAACCTGGCTTATACGCTTACAGGCTTAAATCTTATTATCTCAACCATAGACACTTAGGGACTTACGTAGTCTGTCTGGTTTTTTTCCATGTCTTTAAGCCTTGATGATCAAAGCCTTATATTAGGCATTTTTATTACTGATTTACGACTGGTATTGTGTATAAATTTTGACATACACACACGAACAAAAGTAGCATGACTAATATGACAGCTAATTATCCAAACCATTCAATATCTTTGTCTATATCTTTCACTTTTCCTTATGACTATATAAGTGGTAGGATAGTGACGGACATTATTCTTGGCCTACTTCTAACTTGAAACTTTTACATGAATGTGTTCCTACTTTGATTATGTCCGTCATTTGATGGACGAAAGCTCAATTCGTATTCATTTGAAATTAGGGAAGATATCTCGTGGACTACGTCAACCTGAACTTCATTATAAATCCAAATGTCTACAGTACAACGGAAATCAGCCCTTGTCTTCCGGTTGAATTGACCTTCAGCTATCTACATAATTCACCTTCATATGAAATGAAAGTTCCATTTGTGTTTATACTTTCATGTACAAATATCGTTGGTTAAATTCATATATTATTTCCTTTTATTCGGTTTGATTGCACGATATTATTTCAACTTCGATTTGAATATGCTCTATTTATTAATTGATGTCTCACACCGTACAGCTTATTTATTCCCTGCTTTCTTATCTTAGGTTGTTTTTAAGAATACGACATTTTAAAAACTTATTTTCATTCCTTTCTATTTATTCATTAGTTGATTTATTCGGCCAAAATAAGATTCTCCTGCATATTTATTCTGCTATGTATACTAATGACCATAAATCAATAATAATTAATGAAATTATTATCGACTCGTTACTCTTATTAAATAATTTTCATGTAATACACCCTATTTCTTGTGTTTGTATTTGTATGTGCAATAACCATTTATGCGTTAATTGATTATTGTCCTGTCTTCTCTTAAACCCATTTAGTTCATTTGTCAGTTCGTCATTTTAATCTGTGTTAATTCTGTATATTCTTCCATGTGTTCCTAATTAAGATGAATTTTTATTTCTTATTACCTATTTTTAAAATCTTTACTTCATTTTTCTATATTAAAATATTTGAAATTTCTCTGGAAATTTTAGCCTTTACATCCATTAACCATTTCTCTACGCGTTTATAATAATTTTTTAAAATATCATATGTATCCGAAATATAAATCCTGAAAGAATTCCCTTATTAATAGCCTGATTTATGAGGAATACTAAATCTATATTTTTTTAGATATTTGTCTAAGGTTATGTAACTTGTGGTTTGGGGGCTTATTTTATTTTTGCCGCCTTTTTCAACTTTCTAATGTCAAAATTTATCTCACTGGAAGTTTTTCGAGAATTGATTGTTTTTTACTAGTTCTTCAACGTTTTATTAAATTAGTAACGCATTTAATTGAATAACTAATTTGCCGAAACCAAATTTACCAACTGAGTGGAATGAAAATTCATTCTATTCATAACGGGCCAATTTCATACTTTCATCTTGTTTTGTCGATTTTGACTTTGACTTGCGTATCCACGATTTATATATTTGATATATCTAAAACTTGCTACTTTTTCTGTTCGATTTTTTAACAGAATGCACCTACGATTAGATCGCCTCCGCAGATTACTTGTGCAATCTCGTTCTGAGGCTGCTGTTAATGCTTCTGCTATCTCTACTGATGTCAACAATATAGCCGAACATACTAGCATTGAGTCTCGACATCAACTTATTTCTCCAGCCAATTCTGCAACTAGGTCTTGTGGCAGCCTAGGCGTTAATGAGGCTGCGAGTATCGCTCCTGGTAGCCTTGGCCTCAATGAAAATATTCCTTCAACCCTTCGATCACGCCACTTGACCGGATTGTCTTTCTCGAGTGGGATTACTGATGAATCTGGATCTCGATTTACTGGTCTGTTAAATTCTATTGATTCTTCGACAAGCCTGATTCCGATGGTCGCCCGCGAGGAGTTATTGGAATTGGCCGACGAGAACACTCGTCTCCACAACCTTCTTACTAGCATGCACGCTAAGCATCGACAATCAAGCCTCAAGGTTCGATTTACTAAATTATAGGAACTCTTTTTAGCTTGCTAAAATTATTATTTACTATCGTAAAATTAAGGATGGAAACATTATATCTCGATTCATCATTAAAAACTCGTTCTTATTAATTATCCTTATCTTGTTGATCAATTTTTATGTTTTAATACATTTATTTGGACAATATTAATGAGTGAAATGTCATTAATTACTTGATCCATCACAATTTGATGCCGAAATATATTACAAATTATATTTTGCTTCATTTGACTCTTGACGACAGCACTAGCTTTAGTTAAGATCATTTACATCTTTTAGTCGATAGGTATTTAGTTTGCATATAAAAATCACCAAGTCAATTTAAAAGGTTTTTCATGGGAATTACTTTGAACTAGGCATAAACGAGGTAGACAAGAAAAATTCAGCCCATAAATTTGCCAGATTCGAGATCGCAGACATTACTATGATCTCTTTGAGGAGATCCTGAACTAACATTCGATAGCGAGATGGAGATATTAGGCCCTGCAAATTATTATGAATGCCTTTCTCAATTAAGTACTAATTTCCTCTAACGAATTTATGCAATAGCAATCAATCAAGTGCCTTTCAGGGCTTATATTTCATCCAGAGAACCTCTAGTTTATTCAGTTAGCATTCATTTTTTATATCAACTTTTTAAGTCAATATTACTTCAAGAACCTGAGTGATGAACTCACGAAACTTTGTCCTCCAGGTTGAAACAGATAGATTATGCACTTGCTCTGCACTTGCTGTGCACTTGCACTTATGATTTTCTTCCATCAGTCATTTTGGAATATTTTCTCCAATACTGGTACCAAGCCTTTTCTCACCTCGCCAGATTTAGAATAGGCAGGTGTTTCTTTCCTGCCAATGGCTGAGCCTATTTTTCGTTTCATAAGTAGGCTTCTCGAGGCTACCAGTAGGACTGATATGAGAGCTGTATTCGCCACATTTCTTTTAAGTTGGTGTAGGACTGGTAGTTAAATTTTCCCATAATGATATTAATAGGCCCTACGTCTCCATGAATTTCATGTAGCCTTGCTTCTCAAAAGGTATTCTCTTTCAGCCTAGGCTGCAATTTCGACCTCGACTATGTCCCATTAGCACCCCCAACAAGAATTAAACTGTGGTAATGCAGCATATAATCTAATCATTTTAACCACTGCGACTTCTGAGTTCCGTTGGTCCACAGAGCATATATGAATTTAAAGGAAGATTAGGCATTTTCTCACATCACATTCTGTGATGTAATTTAGTCGATTGCTATAGCAAACACTAGTGTTTAATCGACAATCCAGTCCCAAAGTTTGGCATAGGAAAATGCTTAGCATTTCTTGAAATTATCATCTGTATTGTCACAAGAACACTTGTGGCAGGCGTAGTGGTCAAAGTGACTAGATTATATGCTGATGAGAGATAAGCGCAATTGAAACTGCAATCTAACCTTTTAGGAGGCAAGGCTATTTTAAATTCTCTATAGATGTAGTGCATATTCATTTCTTTGTGGGGAAATTTAACTACCTGCCCCTCGTTTCAAACTAAATTTGGTGAATACAACCGTTAATTAATTGAATCTGTTTGATGTAGCATTACTTATTAAGAATTCGGTTTTAAGTCGACGGCTCACTGCTGAAAATTATTATAGCAAATGGCATAGAAATAGCTACGTTCCACAAAGTCCCTTTCACACCAACCAAGTTACGAAAAATCGGTCAAACAAACTATATTCAGCCAAAGGAGGCTGTGACCAAACAAAGGCCATCTTGATCTTCATATCTACGATATTGGCAGTTACATTCTAGGTCCGATTTTATCTGCACGATGGAATCTTCCTTGAACACTAATATGAAGAAAACAAGTTTCTTGTATAATAGCGTGTTCCCTACATTGATAATTTTAGACAAGGAATATTTCAGAGTAGCTACTTTACTTCGAACTTACATTTTATATTAATGCATCCTCTACGCTTTATTTTTATTTTGGGCTTTATAGTGTTTTTACTTATTTTGAACAATTGTCTATTTGCGTCAACTCTAAGACTAACAATAAAATCGCATGCAGTTGTAATGACAGTCAAATGGCTTGAAAGCTTGATATTTGTATTTGAGAATGTATTCCTAAATGTTTCTCTTATGGGAATAAAATGCAACACATAAAGCAGTTACAAATCATTTAAGGTGCTTAACCAATAGAGTAGATATTTGTATTCGTTGACAAGGCTAGGCTATTTTTATCTTATTAATTGCTATAGATGCTTGTTACACAATCCAGGCCTATATATATATAGCTTGGATCTTGCCTGTGGTAAGGAATCGAGCACAAGTCTTCCTATTCTATTTATTTTTGCAGGCTCTTGAAGTTTATAGTAAATATAATGATTATATTCCAGACCGGCGATAAGTTCCTCTTTAGTGTAGTACGTTTGACATGGTAGAGTAACATAATACCTTAGATACAAAGAGTAACTGGGTTTTGATAAATCTCCTGATTTAGCATTTTTGAGGAGACCTTCATTTCTTATGAAAGTGCATGAAGAAAAGCTTCAGGTGGATCTCACCAGGAGACAACGACTGCAGACGTTTTGATTTAATATGATGTTCAGGTTGACTCAGTCCATGAGACATCCTCCTTCGTTTCAAGTGAAAACGAGCTGTGCCTTCTTTTATAATATAATGGACATCCTTTGAGCTAGAACAAATTCTTTTAAAAGTCTCACGTTAACACAAGTTATACTTGGTTTATTCCCAAGTACGGTCGTTGTAGGAATGCACCAGGTCAATGGTCTAATGCTGAAAATTACGAATAATATGACAGGACACACGACTAAGTACGTTTCGCAAGGTTTCCCTGAAAATCAAGTTGCAAAAACCAGATCGAACCAACGCTATAAAACTATATAAAACTGCAGCTAAACAGAATGTCATACTATTTCGGTCTTCATATAGATAATCATCGCAGCAGTAACAACTCCGTTCTCGACTTGGGCTACACGATTTTTGCTGCTCTGCTTAGAGTTAGTCATTTAATATCGTTTAGCCCTTGATAATAAGGATGGCATTTTTCAATGACAATATCGACTACAATTGTGAATATTTGCCTTGTGATTGATTGTATTTTGGGAATAATCATGCCTACGAATATGTTCTCTAAGGGCTATCTGCCACAAGATGAGCCTTTATATCCGCGAACTTTTACGAATAATTGAATTTAAAAAAATACTTGCGCTCAAGTGCCTAAATTGTCCATTTTATGAATTATGAGGTAAATCAATTCTGCATCCTTATTCAAAAAATAGTAGAATGGGTGTATTTTAGTATTTTGAACCATTTCGGAGGAAATGCTAAATCTATCTTATAATTCGTTCACTATTTCGGTCTACGTTATTACTATTCTTATTTGATTCTTTAATGAAGTTGTGATTAAACTTGATTTTTAGAAATAACTCATAGCAATAAGCAAAATTGTAGAATTATTTTTTTATAAAAACTCCATAGAATGACTTCTATTTCATGGACGCCATTTCTATTGGAATAAAATATTTTGTCCATATTCTAAACAGATTTTGGAAAACCTATATCTTGCTGTTTTATCATTTTTAACATTTTCATTTCGTATGAAAGGGCATGATAGATTCTTAGGTTGGTCTCACCAGAAGACAACAAATGATTCCTATTGCTCTACAGCCGTTGACATGGTTCACGAGATATCTTCCCTCGTTCCAATAGAAAAGTGCCGAGCTTTCGTTCGTCATATGACGACTATCAACACTGCAGGAGTCTTCAGTTAACACCGAATCAAGAGGACTAACCATCTCTACCCTACTTACTCT